AAGATTCCCACAGCATCCTATAAACCCAGAGTGTGGGTGAAGTTTTATGAATTTCACTCTGCTGTGTTTGGAAATATGGTTATGTTAATGAAATCATGCTTTAAATTAGCCGAACATATTCTCAAAAGAAATTTCTTTGCTGAAATTATACATTACAGATTTTGTGGTACCACTGCTCAGCAGTATAAAAGCATGTTTATTATTCAACATTTAATGAGGACCAGAAATTGCTGCGTGCATTCGTCATTGGTTCAGAAACAATGGAGCAAATGCCCTGTTGAGACTGAGGGACGCTAAGGGGTTCCCTCTGGTCCTGACCACCCATAAGGTAGATGGGTGGGGCTGGGCTTTAAGGCGATTTCCAAGGAAAGTGTCCTCCACTGATCTGCTGCAAACTCTGCATCTCTCCACTCCTTTCCATCGAATGTTTAATCCTCACACTAATGAACTGTGCCTGTTATCCTGTGGACATTCACTAGCAAGGCAGTCCGTATCACATGACTGCTATCTTATTCACACTGTTAGCTTCTAGTAAGTCGGGAACTCTCACTACTGGCCTTGCTTTGTGGAGGAAGTTACTTAGAGGAGACATGGAATGGGGTTAGTGAAACCATCCCTGTGGGGCTTAGCACATTTGTCCACCTGAAAAGGAGGGTACAGGCTGGGGTGGTTGTGGAGAGATTTCTGTAGGAGGGAGGGGTCACAGCCTCTGCAGGTTTGTGTGTGCAAAGACCCTGTCATGCCCAGAAAATACTGTTTCGTGTCATTCCTCCATAAGATCAAGCCAGCCAAATTCCAACATGGTGTGGGGAAGGTTTAGGGAGTCACGTGGGAGCAGAGAACTATTGACAGTTGGTAGCTGCTGGGGGCAGGACAGTCTTCGTCTTTGGGGATCTGGCCCCTGATGGGTGGCCCCTTGCTTCAGCGGATGGTCCTACACCCAGACATGTACTGGATCAGTGGGTATAAAAACAGGAAAAAAAACACACATAAAGTTGGGAGGAAAGAGAGGTGAGTGGTATGGGAAAGGTTGGAGGGGAGAAAGTGGGAGGTAGATTTGATCAAAACACAATATACACATGTATGAAATTCTTAAGGCATAAATTAAAAAATGAGGAGAAATTTATTGCAATTAGGTAACTGGATGTACATATTCTATGTCAAGATTGCTAGCCTACAATTTTTTCACTGGTCCCCCTGGAGATGTGTAAAATAAAACAATGTGTTTTATGGTTGCAGCACCAACAGCTCCAAAAGGTAGTTGAAACTCATGCTGGAGCTGCGACTTTTGCTAAAAAAAAAAAAAAAAAAAATGAAACCAGACCAGCAGGCAGATGGAGCCCGACCCACTTGCCTATGGACTAACTCACGGCAGGCTTGGCTTAACTCTTACAGGGTTTGGAGCAGAGAAGCACTAGCTCATTGGCTTGGTGCAGTCATCTGTGATCGGGGCAAGTGCAGACCTCAAGGGTCCTTAGCAATTAAAAAAGCATCTGGACTACATCTACACGAGGCGAGGTAAGGTGCAGATAAGAGCACTGAGTAGAAATGCAGTGGGGAAAAGACAGCAAAGCTAGGAGATTTAATCATGAGCTCTCTTGTGTCTCCACTTCAACCATCTGCTGGGAATTTAAGGAGAGCTGTCCTAGCCATGGCCTGGGAGCCACTTACGCCACAAACAGGAACCAGTTTGAACTGCTGGCCGTACATAGGGTGTCTTCAGGCTGCACTGTGCACTCGCCATTCGGAATGTAAATGCTTTTAGTTAGATGCTCTCGTTTTTGGGTTTCAGCGCAATGCCTGTTGTCTTTACCTGTCCACTTAAAGTGCGTGCATCACAGGTATGGCCCCGGGGAGGTACTGAATTAGTGGCCTCAGGATGTCTTCTAGACACTTGAATGGTTCCACTTCTGTTCTTTAGAAGGCTGTATTCACAGGGCTGGGGACACAGTTTAGTCAGTGAAGTGGTTGCTGCACAAGCCTGGGGGCCTGAGTTCTAGCCCCAGAGCATAAGTAAGAAGAAAAGAAAAGGTTTGGCGTGGTGGCATGAGCTTGCAATCCCAGAGCAGAGGAGATAGAGGTACGTAGGAGCCCGGAGCTCACTCTGGCTACTTGTTAAATTCTAGGCCAGCGAGAGTCTCTGTGTCAAAAAGCAAGGTGGGTGGCCCCTGAGGTTGTCATATGGTTTTTACATGCATGTGCGCACACACATGCACATACACATGCACACACACATGCACACACATGAACATACACAAAAGGTTTTACTCATTACTTTTCTTGTTGCTGTGGCCAAATGTTTGGCAAGAAGCAGCTTGAGGAACATTTTATTTTGGTGCGTGGTTTGAGGTTACGGTTTGTCATGGTGGTGAGGGCACAGCTCCTGGCTGCGGTGGCAGAAGGAGGAGGCTGACTGCTCACATCTGGGAAGACCCGGAAGAAGACAAGGATGAATGCTGCTATTTCGATCACTCTCCTCTTTTCATTCCCTTTTAGTCCAGGGTTGGGTGCATTCAGAGTTCTTCAGCTAACCCTCTCAGGACCCCCTCATAGACGCATTCAAAGGTCTATTATGTCAGCACACCCTATGCCCTCCCATGATTCGTTGCAGTCAAGTCTCCTTCCTACTCCAGCCTTTGTAAGCCATTCATCTGTTCTGTATCCCTAGAGTTTTTCTTTAACTAGGATATCATGTGTCTGTAATTACATTCAGTGTAGCTATGGGTGCTGGCATCCTTCACTGGACAGAACAAATTTGAGGCTGAGCCATGCTGTAGGAACCTGCAGTCCACTCTGGGTTGCAGAAGTTGCTTATCTGTTGGCCCAAAGGTTTTTACTTCCAGTTTGGGGCTATTGCTAATGAAGCTGCCATGGAAATTCCTGTGTGGGTGTGTGCTTTAGTGTTGGATCACGTGATGTGGGTTTGCTTAACTTTGTAAGAAACTCTAAGGCCGTTTTTGAAAGTGAAGGGAGCATCTGGTTGTCCTACAACTGGTCCTGAGAGTTCTAGATACTCTTCATCTGTGCCAACACTCCATCCTGTCAAATCCTTTTCTTGATTTGACTCTTAGAAGAGGCGTGCCATTGCAGTTTTAGCGACATCCAGGACCCTTTTCATGTATTTTTTTTTTTTTTTTTACCAGCCACATAATACTTTCCATGAACGAAGTGTTTACGCAAAGGCTTGTGCCCCTTTTTCAAATTTGGAATTTAAAAAATATGTTTATTATTTATTTATGAGCACGTGCATGTGTGTGAGGGTGCCTACAGCGGCCAGAAGCAGGTGTCAGATTAGAGGGAGATAGAGTTACAGGTGGTTGTGAGCCACCAGACACTGGTGTTGGGAACCAAACTCCAGTCCCCGGGACTGGAGCAGCAATCTCGAGCCATCTCTCCAGAACCCTGAATTGGACTTTTTTTTTTTCTTGTGATGCTGGAAACAGAACCCACGACCTTCCACATGCTGAGCAAGTCCTCTGCCGTTGGGCTATGCCCCCAGCCCTAGTCTTTACCACCTCAGTGCTAGGGTTTCAGGGCTTGCACCGCTCCACATGGTATAAGGGATGTGGGGATCTAACCCAGAGCACGCACCCTGCCCACTGAGCTCGCTTTCCAGCCTTCTAGGTGTTGTTTATCTTATGTGCAACTTGCATTTTGTTCCCCGGGGATGAGAACGCCACAGCAGTCAGGTTCAGAACAGTCTGTCACTGGAATCTCTTTATAACTATAGCCACCTCCTGCCCCCTCTACCTCTCCAGCGACCTCTAGTACCCCCATCTCTGGAATTCTTATCATTTCAAGAATGTTACAGAAAGAGACTCATACAGTATATAACGTTTGTTTTTTCTTCTTCAGTCTGGGGAGTTCCTTCAGGTCGTTACCTATTATCAGTGGCACATTCCTTTTCAAACAGTGTTCTAAGTTTGCTTAACTGCTCATTAGCCCTGCCTGTGGTTTGGGACTATCACCAATTAAGCAAATGCACACAGACTTTCACGTGAACACAAGTTTTCATTTCTCTGGGATAAATGTCCCCAAAGAGCAGCTGGTAGGTGTCCAAGTACCTTTCTTCTTCTGGGAAAACACAAACCACACAAATGGAAGGTGGAAATGGTGGTGCACTCAGAACTTGGGGTTCTGAGGGAAAACGATGACGAGGTGGAGGCCATTATAGGCTGCACGGTAAGATCTGTCGAAAAACATCAACAAAAAACTGTCCGACTTTCTTTTCAGAGTGTCTGTACCATTTTACAATAGCCACCTCACCAGTGAGACATGGGCGATTCATCTTCTCCCTGTCTTCTTTGGCACCTGGTATTGTCAATCTATCTATCTATCTATCTATCTATCTATCTATCTATCTATCTATCTATCTATCTATCTATCTATCTATCTATACATATATATATATACACACACACATACATACATACATACCACAAAGTTTTCAGCCACTATCAACCTGAGCTACATTGCGGCTTAGTTTTAATTTACATTTTCCTGTTGAGCAGACGTTGGACATATTTTTAGAGGCTATCCACCAGAAAGTCATCATTTCCAGACGTTTCACATGGGAAGCAGTTTCTCCACTGGGAACTCAGCACTGCCCTTGCCCTTGGGTTGTGATTTTCTGTTGAGAACCTGCTTTATCACACAATGATTTTCAAGTGAATTCAGAGCAGCCTGGAAGTCTCAACCAAAAAAGGACATTTCTTCAATGCGTGATAAACGGCAGGCTGACTTCAGAGAGACGTAACGGAGTTAAGGAATGAGGAAGGAGTTGTTAAAGAAAGGGGCCAGACTAGGGGTTTGCAAACCCTTTAACCCAGGTCCCAAGAGCATCCTATGCACATGCGCAGTGTGTGCATATCGGTCCCGCCCCCAACCAATAAGGGAGAGGAGGCGGGATCCCCGGGCCGCGGTGCTGCTTGGGTAGCATCCTTGGTTACTGTTGCTAGGGCAGCGGGTCTCTGCAGGAGGTGGGAGTGGGAAGTTTCAAGGGGACTGGACTCAGCAAGGTCAAGGGTCAGTGCGGAGGCTCAGCTGGCGATGGTGAAGCAGACGATCCAGATATTTGCTAGGGTGAAGCCCCCGATGCGGAAGCAGCAGCAGGGAGTACGAGCCACCCGGCCGGGTGTGGGGCGCGCGCGTGGGAGGGCCGGCGCGGGGCGCGGGGCAGCATAGCTGAATGCAGCCCCGGGGGCGGGCCACCTCAGCCCAGCGCCTGGCATATGTGTGCACACTCGTGCACGTGGGCCCGACTGCACGCTCAGCTGCACTGTGCCCCGTCCATACCCTGGCGCTTCTTGGAACTCTACTGGGCCACTGCCTTCCAGCCCTGCACGCACAGCTCGGAGCTGGGGCTAAACACGGCCCCAGCGGGGAAACCCGTGTTCAAGTTTTAAAAGGCACACTCGGACAGTTACAGACAAGCGTGCACAGGTGCTTTCTTTTGCATTCTACGGCCTGCGGGGTTTCTTACCTAACCGCTTTGCTGTCCTGCTGCGTCCATGGTTTGTTTGTCTGACACACTTTCATAAATCCAGAAGTTTGCCAAGGCTGGGAAGACAGGCCTTTCCGCTCTCTGCCTCCAGGGTGAGCGTGGTCATGGCTGCTGTGTTTGGAGAAATCACCACCCACCTGTCAGTAGACTTTTCTGGCTTATGTGTGGTCCTCTGCTGGGACTCTTGTCATTTTACCCACGAGGACACTGCGTGGTAGGTTAAATAAAGTGACCAGAGTGCCCAACTTGTGAGCAGCGGGACCTGACTTTTGTTTAATTTTAATTTAATTTCTTGTTTGTCTTTAGACAGGGTCTCACTATGTAGTCTTGGCTGGCTGGAAACGCAGTATGTAGACCAGGTTGGCCTTGAACTCACAGAAATCCACCTGACTCTGCCTCCTAAATTATTAAAGGCATGCCACTACTCCTGCCTTTGATTTAATATTGTGTGTGTGTAGTTTTTTGAGACAGGGTTTCTCTGTGAAGCCTTAGTTGTCCTAGACTTGAACTCACAGCGATCTGCCTGCCTCTGCCTCCCTGAGTGCTGCTTTTAAAGGTGTGTGCCATCAATCCCAGCTTAATTTAATTTTTTAATTTTACATTTGCATCAAAATTTTTAATTGTTTTGCAGTCTCTCCATCTCCTCTCACCTCTTTCTACTTCTCCCACCCAAACCTGCTTCCCAACAAGCTTCCCAGCCCCTTTCAAGTTTTTGTTTTGTTTTGTTTTTTGTTTTTGTTTTTGTTTTTTGTTTTTTTTTTTTGGTGCAAGTCACTGGGTTTAGTTTTTGTTTGTTTGTTTTGTTTTTGTTTTTCAATATTGGATTTCTCTGTGTAGCCCCGACAGCCCTGGAACTCACTGTGTAGTCCAAGCTTACCGAAAACTCAGAGTCCACCTGCCTTTGCTGGGATTAAAGGCGTTGCCACCGCCAAGCTGGCACTGAGTTTTAATGAAGGATTTTTAAAATTACATTTCTTCTTCAGAAAACAAACCCCAACTTTTTTTTTCTGACTTACAGAGTCAGACAATTTGGTTCGTATTTATGAATATCTAGAATAAGCATATGATTCGTATGTTTTACCTCTATTCTTTTTCGGTGCTGTGTGTCTGTATGTAAATGTGTAACATTATGGCATTTTATAATTTAGAATTTGCCTCCGATAATTTATGTTCTTAAGACAAGGTAATTATAATGTGTCTGTTTTCACCAGCAGTGGCCCTTTTTCTAATGAAAAACATTCAGGAGAAGCTATAAGAAAGGACTCCAAAGAAAGCATTAGCCATTGGAAAAAATGTTGCTTTTATTTTATATTTATGAGTATTTTGCCTGCATGCAAAACACTGAGTGCATGCAGTGTCTGCAGAGGCCAGTGAAGGGCACTGGATCCCCTGGAACTGGAGTTACAGATGGTTGTGAGCTGCCATGTGGGTGCTGGGAATCAAACTCGGGTCCTCCTGTAAGAGCAGTGCTCTTAACCTCGGAACCATCTCTCCAGCCCCCAAATCAGCCATGTTTATTTAAAGAAATAAAACTGTAGAAAGAGAACCCTGGACATCTTTGCCTCTAACTCTCCTTGCAATCAATCACCTACACAAAGACCTTTTAAAGCACTTATGATATCGACCCCCTGATTCTTAGACTTTGCCCTGACTTGGCAGTCAAGAAGTTTAGCAGTGGTAAGGAGGAGGAAGCAGCGGTATGAACGGGAAGCTGGTGAGGAGTCTTGACGCTTAGTTATTTTGATGATTGTTCTTTACCGTTTTCCTAGTGAACATGGAGAAGGGGTTGTTTGGTCCTCTGAGCAGTGAGCTTGATGTCATACTGTGTTTTCATGATGTCACATTCTGACAGCGACGTTCATTATGCTGCAAGCACAAGCAGAAGAGAACAGAAACAGGCAGATACTTAGATAGTGTGTCCCTGCTGCCTCCTGTGTGCAGGGCTCTCACGCTTACCACCGTTCCTCTCTGACTGGTAATGCTGCTTCTGATACAAAATCAAAAGCAACTCCAAGGCTTCATCCATCCGTATGTCCTTCCATCCATCCTTGAGTCATTAAAATTTGAATCATAGCAATTTGTAGATTAGGTCAGGCCTGGTGGTTCACAGCATTTAGCTGTGTTGGTGGTTGGGTGACAGGGTACAGAATCAGGGGGATTGCTGTGAGTTTCAGGTCAGCCTGGGCCACATAGTGAGATCCAGACAAGTGTTGATTACTACTGAATGCTACTTCAGTTTCTGTTTGATTGATTGTTTGTTTGTTTAAACATTCCAGTGAGGGTGAGGTGGCAAACACCTTTAAACCCGGTAGTAGGAAGACAGAGGCTGCTGTGTAGTTCAATCAGTTCTACCATCGTGAATTCCAAGACAGCCAGGGCTTCACACTGAGGCCTTTTCTCAAAATCAGCACACAAGAGGCGTGCCCCGCAAGGCAGGCGCGCGCGCACGCACGCGCACACACACACACACACACAGAGAGAGAGAGAGAACAACAATGAGAAAATAATAACAAACAAAAATGAGACAATACAAACCTTGCATTTTTTTCTGCTTCTTTGCCTAAAGAGATGATAAATTCTTTGTAAGAGAGAGAGTGAAAACTACCCTATTATACTAAAGATTCTGGTTTGAAGGATATATTTTCTTCTTCCCTCTGATGGTGGTAGTGCTAGGGTTTGAACTCAGGGCCACCTAGGTGCTAGGAACACTCTGACACTGTTCTTCTGCCTCCTAGCTCTCTAAGGACTTCACAATGCCGGGAATTCATTTCCTACTCCAGTTCCCCCTCTAATTAGTGAGCCTCCTAGCTCTCTAAGGACTTCACAATGCTGGGAATTCATTTCCTACTCCAGTTCCCCCTCTGATTACTGAGCAAAGAGAGACAGCGGCTGTCTATAAAGATTTTATTTAAATTTTTTTTTGACTATGTGTGAGCATCTGTATTTGGGTATGTGCATGTGAGCACAGATCCCCTCAGAGGCCAGAAGGAGAAAGCCCCTGGAGCTGGTCTCTTGTGTCCTCTGGAAGAATGGCAAGTGCTTTAACCACTGAGATCTCCAGCTTCCACTCCAAGATACAGATTGTTGAAAAAGTGTGTGTCACCCCTCAGCTTTGTGTATTTCGTGTCAAACACACTCCTTTCATTCACTGTAAGCATCTGCTTCAGCCAGACATGGTGGCACATGCCTTTACTCCCAGCACTTGGGGTTGGGGGCAGCAAGGGGTGGCTCTCTGCCAGCTGGGTCAACATAGAGATCTAAGCCAGGGTTACACAGTGAGATCCTGTCTCAAAGTTTAAAAAAAATTTTGCTTTGGGAATTATTCATACTTTTTGTTAACTTAGGTAACCTTTTCTTGGGTAGTAATATGACTCTTACCCTCTAATCTTGCATGTAAGTGACTCTAGCTTAAATAGGAAGTGTTGCCTGTAAGAAAGTATTTTATTTCCTGGTGAAAGACAGGAGGTCTTTTTAAAAAATCTCCTTTTTATGGTGCATTACAACTACTTCCATTCACATTACATCATTTGAGCCCCACCCCCAAACACTCTTTTAAGGGAGGCTGGCGATTCTGTTTCCCATACTTTATATGTAAGGGGCCTTTGATTCTGAGAGTGGTAGCTGCTCACACACCTGGTAGTTGGGTTCAGTGTGCAGACATTAAATCTCAAGGTTTCCTTAGAGGCTTGAGTTGATTTTCCTGGCCAAGAAATAACCGCGTGCGTAATGGAGACAAGAATCAGAAAATGGCACCACTGTCAGGAGGTTAGGTCCCTCTGTTTCCATATCATCTTGGAAGATGGAAGTGATTTCTCCCGGGTCACTTAGCAAAAGTAGTGGCTGAGCTAAGTTGACATGCACAGGACATCTAAGACATGAAGCTCACACATCCTTTCAACCCACATGACTTACCGAATTCCTGAAACTTGGGACTCTGTGTCTGAGGGTCACACCTGCTCAGAAGTGCTTACGGGTTGTATCGAGAATGTGAATCTCTCTAGAACAGGGAAGCCACACTTATCATAAGGCTCTCAAGGCTCTTCTCAAGGACAAGAAGGATGTGTTTACACAATCAGATTTGCATATTAGAGCATCCAAAGATGCTCAGAGCCTGGGTACAGCAATGTGCTGGTTTGAATGAGAATGTCTCCCGTTGGCTCAGGTATTTGAATACCTGGTCCCCAGCTGTTGGCACTGTTTCAGGAAGTTAATGGAACATTTAGAAGCTGGAGCCTTGCTGGGGGAAGTACTCACTGAGTTGGACCTTTTGGTTGTACAGCCTTGCCCCATTCCCAGTTCACTGTCTTTGCTTCATGTTTGTGTTTGTTATCTCTCAGATTCCTGCTCTGGCTGCCTGCCATCATCTACGTCCACCCCCCACCCCGCCGCCATTGTGGACTCTCCCGTAGGAACCCCAAGCCAAAATAAACTCTTACATGAGTTGCTTCTGGTCATGGCATTTCATCACAGTAACAAAAAGTAACTAATACGAACAGCAATTTAGGTTTTAACTCTTGTTTTGTTCTATGTATTTGTCTGAGTCCAGTGACAGTGCAAAGAGAACTTTACGTATTATACCATGCTATGGTATTTTGTCACAAGAGCACAGTTTTTGTACTATTGCAGTGTTAATCATATCCAGGTCAGAGGTCGCGCTGGGATTTTACCATTTACATCCACCCTCGTTCTTGTATTTGCAGATTTATTCCATAGATGAAGATGAAAAATTAACATCTAGCTTGGAAATTATCCTACCCCGAGATCTGGCAGATGGATTCGTGAACAATAAGCGAGAGAGCTACAAGTTTAAGTAAGCTTTGTGTTCCTCCTCTTTGTTACTTCATCTCTGGGCAGATGCTTGTGCCATGTCAGTTTCTGTTGCTGAGGTCATCAGCCCATTCCTGTGGCAGGGGCAATATGGCCATCTCATTCGATACAAAGAAGTCAAGTTATTGTGCCCAAGATTAAAAGGTAGGTTCTGTGTTTGAGATTCTATCCCAGGCCTGGAGATTTGACTGTGGCCACAAAGCGCTTACCTTCCAAGCCTGAGGACCCGAATTCTCACGTCAGAGCCGGCCACAGCAGTGCACTGCCTCCTCTGGGGTATCAGGAGGCAGAGGCAGGCAGACCCTGTAAGCTCACGAGCCAACTAACCCAAAGTTCCAGGCGAGTGAGAGGTCCTTTCTCAAACAGAGGTGTCGAAAGCAACCTTGAATATGGATCTGTGACGTTGACTTCTGACCTCTACACTGACATTGCAAACACATGCACTCCTCCACACACAAGTATGCGCGCATAGGAATACATATAGATAACAAAGAAGTAGCGCGAGTACAGCCTCAAATTCCATCTTTGCTTTGTGATCTGTGAGTATCGAGTGTCATTATTTTCCTGTTCTGCCCATCGTGGGTTAGTCCCTACATGAAGCCCATGAATGTGTAAATGTGATTAAAGGGGGGATGTTAATGTCCAGTCTGTGTGTTACTTAGGTGGTCTTTCTTTGTAATGTAAATGATACACAGGCCTCAGGTACTCACGAACATATCTAATGCCTATAATGTTTAGTGGGACAACACCCACTTGAACCAGCTGTGTCCTGAAATGAGGTACTCTGTAAAGTATTCCTTTATTTTGGATATTGATTCAATATGAGAAAAAAATTAAAGAGAATGTAAAATATCTCAGGAACTTTTTCATATTGATCTCATAGCATAGTGACAAAAAATTTGGATATAACGTATTAATCTAATTAATTTCCCAGGCTCCTTTTTACTTAAAAACAAAACTGCAGCGGGAACACTTTCACTATCATTTATGGATGGTTTTATATTTCTCTTGGGCAGTGCTTAACCACATGGATTGGGTGAATGTCCCAACCCCCACTCCTTGTCTTTCTTCACTGCCAGCCTGAGGGGTGAGAGATCCAGGCCTTAGGGACAGGAAGGACAAGGTCCTTAAGATAGAAGAGCATCTGGCTGTTTGAAGAAAGAAAGGGGACCCATGCGACTTACAGAGCAAATGAGGGATACAAGGGAAGACGACAGGTCAAAGGGCACAGACAGGCCAGATTATACAGAACCTTATGAGTCAACTGGAGTTGTCCCCTCAAGTGCCACGGGTAGGAAGAGGATGGTGCTGAGGAAGATGGAGCCATCACGCTCCTGTTGCAGTAGCGTGGCACTTGCTGACATATGCAGCACGTACTGTAAAGAGGCAAGGAAGTCAGGTCAACACGGCTGTAGCCTGGCCTTGGTAGGAAGTGGAGTGCTGAGAAATGTCCCGTGTATCCATTCTGTATCCATGGGTCTAACCAACGTAGGGCCTAGAAAGAATCAAAACTGTCTTTGCTGAACACACTGACTCTTTTGTCATCTTTCCAGAAACAGCAGAGTGTAGAGCCATTTACACGACACTTGCATTCTGTTAGGTATTGTGAACACCGAAGAATGTATGGAAAGAGGTTCCTGGACCGTATGCAGATGCTGTTATGTAAGAGCTCTGCACACCTGCAGATTTTGGTGTCTGAGGATGCCTAGGCAGGACTCTAATTGGATTATGGCCATTTGCAGGTCAGAGTTGATTGAGTTTGCCAGTGACTTCATTACAGAGGAAAGCAGAAAGATAGGAGTCAAAGGTAGCAGGGAGTTTGGGACTGAGAATTTAGAAGGATGGAGTTGTCATCTTGTGGGGTCAGAAAGATTTTGAAATAGGCATCAAGCAGGAAGCCTGTGTGCAGTTAAAATGGGCTTTAGGCAAAGCCTACACAACATCCTAATGAATGAAAGGACATTCTGGTCATCCGGAGCCCCAAGTTCTGTCTTGGTGTGTTATTTATGACCATGAGGACCACATGGATCTCTTACCTCCATGGACCTCAACTTCATCTTCATAAGAGATTTGACTGAACTTGTTACAGATAGTCTGAACTGTAGGAGTCTCTTTTGTTCTTCAGAAGACAACTGATCAAAGTTCCTCTCCAGAGCATAACATAACTCTGTTGTGAAAATGAAATGTTTGGAGATGGTGATATTTGGTGCTCAATATGCAATTACTTTGTATATTGTAAACTTTTATCTTGAAGTCTTTATTCTGAAGTAGGTATATAATAGAGAAATCTGGAATGTTTCTTCTTCCACTGTTTTTATAAAGACCAGAGGATATACTTTTAAAATGATTGAGTTCAATTTTTAAAATTTAAAATTAAAAATTTTGATTTAAAACTAATTTTTTTTTAAATTTAAAAGTTATGAATATGTGTGTATATACATGTAAGTAGAGGTACCCATGGAGGCCAGAAGAGGGATTTGGATCCCCTGGAGTTGGATTTACAGGTGGTTGCAAGCGGCCCTGTATGGTGCTGGAAATTGAACTTGGGTCCTCTGTAAGAACAGCAAGTTCTCTTAACTTTAACAGCTGAGCCATCTCTCTCACCACGTGACATCATGCCCCTGTCCAAAGAATTCCGTACACTTTATGAATATTATTCTAAAATTGTATCTCAGTCTAATCGAAGCCTTGGTAGAGCGCCTGGTTTGTGGGAGGCACTTGATATGTATTTGTGAAATAGGTAAGTGAGTAGATAGGCTGAGCATAATTAACCTTGTAGATAGGCTGACTGTAATTAACCTTGTATAAGGAACCTTTCCTTGTTGATTTCATGGTGGCTCAGTGCCATTTTGAAAGTTCCTGGCACCACTTGATGTTACAGTAACAGATGAAATGACTTGTTCTTCAGGGAATTTGAGTGGGGTGTGTCTTATTGCTTCAAGGTCACCAACAACCAGGTGAAAGAAGCCAGAGAGCTCTGTTCCTCAGTGGCCTCCCGGAGCCCTGCAGGAGGTCTGTAATCCAATACCAGAGTAGATTGAGAGTCCGCCCTGCTCTTTAGAGCACACTCTTGCATGGTGCCCATATGCTCTCTGGACCTCTGTGCCATGCTGGCATGCAAATCTAAAGCTGTGTACCGATAGTGTTGGAAGGGACAATAGGCACACTAACAGCAAATGCTACCACCTCAAACCTACTGTTCCCTCCTAAGGCCTTAGAAAAGTGGTTCTCAATCTGTGGGTCATGATCCCATTTGGGGGTCAAATAACCCTTTCACAGGGATCACCTAAGACCATGGAAAAAAACACAGATTTTTACATTAAAATTAATAACAGTAGCAAAACTAGTTATAAAGAAGCAGTGACAATAATTTTATGGTTGGAGGTCACCACAACATGAGGAACTGTGTTGGAGTGGCAGCGTTAGGAAGGTTGAAAACCACTGCTCTAGCTCAGTGTACAGTCCACCATTCGCTCATCTCAAATGAAGGGTGATTAGCCCTGGGGAGCCTTTGAGGTTAATATTGGTCACTGGTGATACATTTCTTTCTCTTTTGTATTTCTAATCTTAACTCTGGTCATCCATCCGAACTCTTTGAAGGTAACAACTGTATTAAAAGTCCCCCAAGGTCTTGCTGCTTTAGTTGACTATGGCCAGTTGACTTGTGTAAGCAGGCAGGTTGACCAGAACTCCTTAGTCATCTGAAAGCTGTTTATGATGCCCTCAAAAGTTTTGCTTGAAAGTTTTTACTTTAAAGGCCACATCCTCTCAGCTTTTGTTTTGAAATAATGTTAAGGTACTGGGAAGAGATCACAGCTGGAAAAGTGAGCTTGAAAAGCTTTGACGGCTTCAGAACCTCTGTTTGATCCCTGGAACCCACATTTTAAAAGCCAGATGGGATGGCATGCTGTGATCCCAGAACCAGGGAGGCAGAAACAGGTCAATCTGTAGGGCTTGCTGGCCAGTCAACCTAGCTTGCCTGGTGAGCTCCAGGGCAGTAAGAGACCTTCTTTAAAATACAAGGTAGATGAAAGACACACAAGCTTGTCTTCTGACCTCCACATGTACTCCCCACCAGGCACTCTCTCTGTCTCTAGCATGCATGAAGCTACACTTGCATACATATAAACACACATACACACATGCATGCAGCTGTACCTGCATACACATAAACATACAGACACACACAGAGAGAAAAATTTAAATACATAAAAAATATAAAAAATAGGTCAGTCAGTACTCTCTGTGGAAGATTCTCTTTTGTGATGTTTTAGTGAGGGCTGTCCTGTCAGCACCTCACCCCACCACAAGATAATAGACTGTCTCACCCAAGTGTTCTGCTGTGCTGCCAATCCTGTACTAAGCTTAAGGGTGATTCTGCAAGGACACTGAAACAGACGCTCTGCCACCTCCTAGAACTCCCGTCCCTGCCGGTCTGATAAAGACCCAACTTTGCAGAACAGAGGAGTCTCTTCTCACTTTTGAATCATGGTCAAGAAAATGAGACAGCAGCACCCTAAAGCTGGCATCACCGGTTGTAGGAGAAGGACCTAATATATGGCCAATCAGCTGCAGTTCAGATGCGTTAAATTCACAGATTGCACAGTTCATGCTTGCATTCTCCTCACAGGGCGGGCATCAGAGGTCCAAGGGCCTTTTACATCCCCTTCTTGGGCTTGTAACCCATGCAGGTCCGGAGGTTTGACTCTGATGCCAGCCACAGACACTGTCCCTCTTGGGAGCTAAAAATACACAGTTTATTATTTGGTTCAAAGCTGGTGTGATTTATTTCAGAGGGGGACAATTGTACAGATCTTGTCAAAGCCATATTGTTTACCCACTATTTTGTGAGCAAGAATACAATGGCACAGTGTGGGGGGGAGGACAGGCAAACATTGTGTTAGGTTTGGTAAGCCTGGTGATGTCAGAGTGGGGTCATTTACAAACGTGTTTATGAAAACAAGATTCATTAATCCAATAGCATTTGAAGGCTCAGCCTTGCGATAATTATTACTTTCACGTTACAGATTTCAAAGGATTTTTGACCAAGATGCTAAGCAAGATATCATTTTCGAGATCATTGCCAAACCAGTTGCTGAGAGGTAGGATTTCCCAGACTCTGTTCAGTGGGTTCGTGGCTTTTCATCTTGTCTTCAATTCTTGGGTAATTGTGGTAATTTGTTTCCATGTATCAGTCATACACTCAGGCTGCACGGCATGAAACGGTGATAGCATTAATTATTTATATTAATAGCTGTTTGTTTTGGACTCAGATTGTGTTCTTGGAAGCGAACCAGAGATGCAGTCTCATTTTAAAAGGCCCAGTGTGGGGCAGGAGGGATGACTCAGTGGTTTATTGCGCGTTCTTCACACGCAGAGGCCTGAGTTCAGTCCCGGTACCCACGGGGCAGCTCGCAACCTCCTGCTGTGACAACTCCAGCTCCAAGGATCTGACACCCCCTTCTGGCCTCCAAGGGCACCTATGCAATGTGCACACACTAACCTTCACACACATGCGCGTATAAAGAAATCCTTTCAAAGGTTCCATAACCAGGGGTGATGTACGCTGAGAGTGCTCAAAGGGCTGTGGCTGTTGGTATTGGAAATCTAAATGGTTTTCTAGCTGTTATTTCAGTTTTTTTTTCCTTGAGTCAATATTTATTTTATTATTATTATTAAGTTTTATGTGTGTAAATGCACTTATTTGTGCTTGGTAGTGTTGAAACTAGAGGTCACTGGAGGTCATCATTGAGATGTCTTTCTCAGTAGCTTCTCTACCTCATTTTTTGAGACAAGAATTTCACTGAGTGGTTGGCCCATGAGCCCCTAGGACCTGCCTGCTTCATTCGCAGTGACGGGTCTGAAAGCATACACTACCGTGCCTGGCTTTTAACATGGGTGCTGGGCATCCGACTCAGGTCCTCATTCTTATTTGGGAAACAAGCACTGTACCTACTGAGTCATTTTCTCGACCCCTCGGAATTTTAAACAAATGATTGGGAGGACAAAGAACAATGTGAAAAGAGGACACTTTGGGAGGCCCGAGATGGTTGGACCTGCCTCAGTGCCTTGTCAAAGCTTGGTGTTTCCTCTCTAGGGCCATCTGTTTCAGACAGTTCCAGGCTGCTGACTATAACAATAAAATTTTCATGGTGATGCTGGACAATCAGATACAAACATATTGATATATCTTGGCAAGGTGTTGGGTCTAGAGCAGTGCTTCTCAAACTGTGGGTCACTGGCAAACCTCTGTCCAGTGGTAAAATCCAAAAATTTTACATTGTGATTCATAATAGTAGCGAAATTACAGTTGTGAAGTGGCAACTAAAATAATTTTATGGTTGGGGTCACCGCAACATGCAGAACTGTGTGAAAGGATTACAGCAAAAGGAAGGCTGGATAGTCAGGGCCCTTGACAAACAAGGGTCCCTTGTGGGGAATCTCACGGGGAGCAACTGCTAATCAGGTTGCTCTGATTGTGAAGCCATTAAAATGGATCAGTGACCATTCATCTTTGTAGGTAAGATGAAATCTCTGCTAAATGAAGCCAATTTTCTAGTCTACTAGTTCATGTAGTTTCCTATGCACAAGGGGTTTTGTTGAATATTAATATTTATTATTGACTTATCTTTTAGTTAAGCAACGGTTATTCCTAAACCAGCTGTATACCCAAATCACCACACAGAGACCAGGATTTATTTAATTAACCTAGAGCCCAATGCTGGGCAATAGTTACTCCATCCTAAACCTCCAAGCCTGCATAGTTTCCTCCCATTCAGATTTCTCACATTATAGTTGCTTTTAGTCATATCTTACAGGTCCAGTTCATCTCTCCTCATGGTTCCCGTTCTTTTCTTTCATATCTCTCCTCTCTGACTCCTTCCACTCGCTTCCTTCTCCTCCCCTCTGGACCAGGATGTCCCACCCTATTCTCTCCATTTCTCAGCACTGGCTGGATGTTTAATTGACAATATAGAGAACAAATGGTGGCAGGTTTACACAAACTTGAGACAGGTGATGCTTACAATAAACATCACAATACAGTATCCAGATTGAAACCAGATAGTGGGGTTGAGAAATCAGCATTCGAATGATCAAGGGTGAATTGTATACATTCCACAAGAGCATTATACCAACAAAGGGGAAAAACCCACTGTCCAACCTTGTCCCTCACACTTTTGTTTTATGGACTTTGCCTAAAGCAAGCTCTTTTCATCTCATGCAGTCTTCCTTCACTGATAAAATACAATCACAACAGGCTTTGTTTCTTCTATAACCACAACCAGGCAACCTGTTTTTGGATTAAATTCAGGTTGCCCTAGTCAGATGCCAAAGATGACTAAAATTACACTCCTTTCAATAATCATTAGGGTTAGATTATTTTACAGAGAGTTAATCTTGCATTTTATTTTAACAAGTTGTATTTATGTATGTGTGTATGGAAACACACCTGTATGTAGGTACCTGCAGAGGACAGAAGCAGGCATAGGATTCCATGGAACTGGAGATGCGATGGTCATGAGCTAACATGTGGATGCTGGAAACCAAAGCTAGGTCCTCTGCAAGAGCAGGAAATGATCCCGACTATTAAACCATGTCTCCAAACTCTAGTCTTTGTGTTTTATTTTGAAACTTTGTTTACTCATTCCTGGAGGGAAACTTGTTTCTGTGTTCTCAGAGCTGGGGTCTTCCTCCTTCACTGAACTCTCCCATCTCCGTTCCCTGCTTTGAGCCTCTGCCCCTTTCCTCAGCTTTTCTTTATCTCAGGTCCATATCTGAAGATGACCCCAAGATATTTCTAGCCATTTCTGTTTGCCTAACTGTCTTTCCAAAGAATGATAAATGGTGAAGGCCAACAGAAGACAAAGCCTTCTGGGAAATTCTTCCTCCACAGATGAATAGTGCTGGACAAAAACTGACAAGACTTTTACTCTAGTGTTTGGATTTGCAACTTACTATCCACAGCAGAGCTATAGACACGCATTAAATATTGGGGGTGTGGCTTGGTAATCCAGTGAATTTGTTCAATTCTTTGTCACTTGCAAATCCAAATATCTTCACGTGGAGCATGAACTTGTTTGGCAGGGTTTCTGACCTTCTCTGAATTTTGGGCTTCTGTTTTATACCTACCCTTGAGTTCTGCATCAGAATTAGCAGGGTATTCCTTGTTAAATAGCAAACGAATTTATTTACTGTTATTAGATAACACTAAGAATATGCTGTGTGTAGCGCAGAGGGCTTTGACGGCTTCAGAACTTTTTCCTGTAGAGAATCTCACTCAATTCACGCAGGAGTCTTGTGGAGTCTCTTGCTTTAGGGGAGACATCAGGACCCTGGGCATCAGATTGACGTTTGCTGGACCACACAGTAATGACGCTGTAGATGTAAGACGAGAACAGATCTTCCCCTCCCTGTGATTTGACCCTTATTTTGTTTTAATCACTTTTAGCATTTGTCACCCTTGCTAAACTCATGGATGCCACTCATTCCTGAAAGGTCGTTTTTCCGACTTCATCCTCCCTCCCTCTCAGCATTGTTCAACCCTGTCACTCGGCTCCTTCCCCCTGGTCTTTGAGAAGGGGCAGCTGAGATGTGGGTCTGCCTTAACTTTCCAATTCCTGGATTCTCCTTCCTGTGAGCCAAGTGTCCACAGTCTCTGATGGTCCCGTAGCTCACTCACATATAGTCACAGTTCCGTGGGCTCAAAGATAGGGCTTTCATTGTCCCCTAAAATGCCTTCATTCAATAGAAATACTCTCAGAAGAAAAGAACTAGATCATATAAATTAAATTTTATTCATCATTCATTCAGTGAAATTAGTTAGTTATTTAGTTGATTAATTCATTCATTTTTGAGACAGAGTCTCACTACATAGCCCTGGTTGGCCTGGAACTCGCCAGGTAGACCAGGCTTGTCTCAAGCTCACAGAGACCCCCCTGCCTCTGTCTCCCAAAATGGTGGACCTGGCAGGGTTCAGGACCATTAACAAAGTGTTATGATGTGTCAGGCCCAGGCTATAATCCTGGCTCCTGGAAGGCTGAGGCAGGAGTTACTAATGTAAGGTCAACCTGGTCTACAGGGTTAAGACACACACACACACACACACACACACACACACACACACACACACAGAGAGAGAGAGAGAGAGAGAGAGAGAGAGAGAGAGAGGGACAGAGACAGAGACAGAGAGACTTAAAACAAGAACAGTAAAATCTTTTACAAAATCCAACAAAACCAAAAACCTAACAAGTCTTTGTTCATATGTCACTTTCCTGAGGAGTCACACCCTGGCCATCCTTGTTAAAACTACATGCCCTCCTTCACCACCATGGTGTTCCTGGTGCCCCTCCCCCACTACCTGATATATATTTGTGGGGCTGGGGTACTGTGGAACTGGGAGGAGCCGGTTGGAACAGGAGTGGGGTCCAGTTGTGTCTAACCCTGGAGATCTCTCAAGCGCAAGAACAGTAAGAGTGGGGACCACTCCCTCCTCTGCCCAGGGCTGGCAGGCCCACATGCCTTTATCCCCCACCTTTGCCCCCACCAGAAGAGGTCACAGAGCCAGAGCAGGTTAAACTTTCTCTCTCCTGCAAGCACCTGAAATTCCTCTTCATGCAAATAAAGCATTCCTAACATCTTGGCCCTGGCCAATGATATGCAATCACCCCAGAAGCCTCTACCCACAATGATATGAGCTGGCACCTGTTGAACTTGCCTCCATATCCAGCAGGCATCTATGGAATTAGTATTGTCTGAAGCTGTTAGATAAACACACAGTTTCTATTCCAGCCCAAATTATACATATAACCACAAGGGGCTTTTCCTTGTTGCACAAAAGGCAAATCACATTCTTGGTTCTTTAAATTGTTCACAGCTAATGCTTTTGTGTTTTATTTACTTTAATTAATGGAAATTCCCATTGTGGAGACATGCACTTGCTGTGTGCTCATTAGGGTGTTTTGTCATTGTTGCATGTTTTGAGCCATAAAGGATTTTCAGAACACTGAAATCTTGGTTATAAAAATGAAAGCTTTAAAAATAGCTTTCAGTGGCTTGGTTTATGCTTGTTAAGAATATTTATGCCCAGGCTGGAGACATGGCT